ATCGTTTGCATTAAAAACCGAGAGGAAACCTTAACCATAGGGATCCGATCCTATCTTCTAGGATGATTCTTTCATCTTGACTCGGAATCCATTGCCAAAGCATTAGGATTAGATAATGAAGGGTTAGACAATGAAAAACTTACGGTAGGATCTCAGTATAAGCGAAGGGATAGTGTAAGTGTTCTAGACCTTCATGACCGTTTTCTTCACCTAATGATCTCTTGGTGGTTTTGACCATCAGGGGGCCGTTACTCTACTCTTCGCGCCTTAGATATATTTTGGCTTCATTGTGTCCAAACTAATCTTAAAATTAACCTTCCACAGATTATTTTTGCTCAACTTGTCGAAACCGTAAATCTTGTTCCCAATAAGAAATTGTGTTCTTCTTTAGTTTACGGTTGTATTCTTAGTAATATGTTTAAGAAGGATGGGCTTAGAGTTGGTCTTGATGCTTCCTTTCCCCTCAAAAACCAAATCAATCTATTCTCTTTAACTAAATCAGGATGGAAGATCAATGAAGAAACTGGTCTTTGTGTTCGTACCGGTGAGCAACCGCCTGAAGTTAACGACTCCGACGATGAACCAGAACAGCACGAGGAACAAGCATGAACAGAGGAACAAGCACAACCAGAGGATCAAATGCCTCCATACTTTCAATCCTTTATGGAGACATTCGATTTCCGATATGCTTCCATGGATTCTTGCTTCACTTCCATAGAATCTCATTTATCCACAATGGGAGCTCAACAATTGGAAATTCTCCGGGAGATGCGCACAAACAATGCTTCTATAAATGAACGCATTGATGCACTCTCACATGAGATGGCCGCTATGCGAGCTCATTTTCCTCCTCCTGATCCTCCTATGGATGCTTGATTCTGTGTTATGCTTTAGTACTTTGAACTTAAAGCTTATTGTTTCAACATTTTGAATGTTTTTGGATTGTTTTTACTTTGGTTGTTGGATATTTGAACTAATTTGATGAATTATGGATGTTTGAACTTATATTTCTATATATTTGGTTTGGTTAAATTTATTATTGCATCATTTACATCAATTAGATATATGACCAATTTTCCCATGTCACATTGTTTATGAATATTGATTATAAAGCTAATGGCTAACGTTTCTCTTGATTGTGTTCTTAGCAGCTTAAGTTATATCTATTATAATCAATTGGCTAAGTACTTTTCAAAACCTTGTTTACAATTCTTTTAAAAAATCTTTTTGATTTAACAAAAAGGGGGATAAATATGTTAAAAGTGAGAAGTGTTAGAGTAAGGGGGAGTAATTTCAAACTTGATTTTAAAATCTTAAAATTACTAAAATGTTTTGTTATATCAAAAAGGGGGAGATAGTTGAAAACATTTTGATATTTCGATATAACAAATTAAGTTAAATGAATTTTAAGATTTTCCAAAAAGATTTTCTAAGTATATTCGATATAATTATTCGAATATCAAAATATTACTCCAAATCTTTGTCATTTTTAATCCTTATTCAAGTGTAAAATTAAGTTTTAATCTTAAAATAATTTCAAAACAATTTGACAAAATATTTCGAACCATTTCAAAGCCAAAAATTCCAGATTGCTCAGAGAGAACCGATTCCCCCCCAAGGGAGTACCGATTCCCCCTGTTTAACAGTCGAAATATTTGAATTTTACACTTAGGGAACCGATTCCCCCCACGCTCCAAGTAGAAATATTAATTGTTTTCACACTTAAACGGCTCCAATAACTTCATTAATGATCCTCAACGTTCAGAAGTGATTCATTGTGTATTTAAACAAGCTGAGAAGCCATTGATCAATAACAAGAAACAACAATCAACTAGAATCAAGAGAGAATCAAATATAAAACATCAAACCTCAAGTTTGTGCATTTCAAGCCTATTTCATTCAATTTCATTTTTGCTTTCAAGAACACTTATTGTGCTCAATTGTATTATTCTTGAGTGTTCTTTCTTTATTCTAGAATTGTGCAAACATCTTGCCTTGTGAGGATTTTCTTGTAAGTTTGCAAAATTTGTATTATTCTCTTTGGGAGAGAGTCTTCTCAAGAATTTGGGGTATAATTCTTGAGGGATTTGTAAGGTTACTCTTTGTCCTCAAAAGAAAGACAAATTAGTGAATTTGTGGAAAATCCTTAGTGTGGATAGCTAAGGTAGTGGACGTAGACTTTGGTTAAGAAAGTCAAACCACTCTAAATCGTTGTGCAATTACTTTCAATTTTCTGCACAAGCTTTCACTGGAATTTTTATTTGTCAATTCACCCCCTCTTGGCCATATTCATAGATCGATTAACTCAACAGATAACTTAAGTTTGCATATCATTTGCATAGGTAGCAACATTTGCTCATGTCATTATTAACTTTTCTATAACTTATCTCATTGTTTTCATGGTTTTCATAGGTACATTGGAAGCTAAGGCAACATATGGTAGCTCGTGGACTTAGTTTACAAGCTTTGGTAGCTCATGTTAGCTCATGGACAACTTATTCCAGCTCACTTAGCTCAAGGGAGTTTAATGGAGCTCAAAGGTTAGCTAGATGAGTTGAAAGGTACCTGAACTTAGCTGGAGTGTAACCAAAAGAACTAAAGGCAGCTGAAGTGTTAGCTGGGTATCTAGAAAGACACTAGCTAGTTACACTCACCTAACTAGCTCACTAAGTGATTACCTTGGTCCATGTAAAAGTCACATGCCTAATAAACTTCCACGGTCGAATCTACATCATTTAAGGCATGGAAAGATACATGTATTCATGTTAAGTCACATTCATGTAAGGGAACAATGATGCACTTCAAGGAATGTGAACAACCTAATGTAAACACATTAACGCACCTACATCTAAGGGAGCTTCACAATTCGACAATTCAATGCATCTCCACATTAAGGTACCAAGATGAACATGCAAAACATTATTTAGCCACACCAAGGGAAAATTTTATCCAAGGTTCACACTCATACTTGAAAAGAAATGATGAGAATAATTAATTAAGTTCATTCATCCAAGCAATATATGTGAATACAAAGATTAAGGGGAGTCGAATCAACACAAGCACATGCATTCCAAGTGGGCTCAAACTAACGTGGATACATCTCTCCAAATTCATGCAAGAAAACAAACTAACATGGTTACACCAAGGGAAAAGAATTTTTCCTTTAAGATTAACTCATTTAAAAAGATGAATATGCATTAATCCAATGCATTATTCATGTTCACATTAGGCTTGTCATGCATCTAATTAAAGGATGAACATTTATACATGAATGTTCATTCATTAAAGCCCATGTTTTCACACTATGCGTGCAATGTATCCTAGGCACCTAAAGGCTTATACATAGCTAAAGCCTTTCATTTTGTAAAGAACCAATTGACTTTGTTCAATAAAATATTTGTGAGAGTTTCTCTCTTTATTTCTTAAGTGAACTTTATCAACTTATCAAGCTTATGCTTGTGGAACAAATCCATACTTGTGGTTCATATCTCTTTATAAACAATAGGTCCTAGATTTATTTTACCACCCTTCAAAATCATCCTATAATACATGGTGCTTAGCTTTCACATAGTTCTGTATTTTTCTTTGATACTTTGAAATACTTTCTTCAAAATCTATCACCATCACCATCACCATCATCCCTATTTCCATTATCATACTTCACCATTTTCATCCAAACATATCATCATCTTCATCGCAACATCCGCATCCAACTCTATCTTTTCATTTCATTACTTCTATTTAACCTTCTATTTTGAGATTTCTTGCTTGTGCATGATCCTTGTTGTCTTTCTAGATTGAAATAATCAAAGGATAGCCTTATATTTAACAACAACATTCGTTAGAGCTAGCATGACATACATTAGGAACCCTTTATGAACAACCAACTTGATGAAAGGCCATGATGGTTGAAGGTAACCTTTAATGAAAAGATAGGTTACATGATGAATGAGCTAAAGGTGAATTGGCTATGGGTGCATACAAGCATGATGAAGTATTTGACAGCTCCTTGTGAAAAGGCACATCTCGAAAAGACACCTATTCATGAAAAAGATTAACTGTGAAAAAGTGAATTTGTGTAAAATGTATGTCCATTGATGGATGATTGCATCCGTTCAGCTCCCAATTGATTTGAGTAACTGAGCTAGCTCAAATGTTCAACTCAATCCAGCTATGAACAAAAGTGCAACTGCCAACTTTTCATAGCATTACCGTGAGTTTCCATAGAGTTATCCTAGATTGATTCCACTGGCTTTGAGCTTCATCTTCCAGTTTAATTCATCTCCCCTCTATACGGCCGAATGTACCTTTACAAAAAGAACAAAGATAAGTAAAAGATATAAGAAAGGTTCAACATAAGATATATAATACATGCCTAAGTATGGATGAAATGCAATCATTTAACATAGGAATGATATGTATATCCTAAGGTAATGGATGCATACTAAACATATAATAAATTATTATATGCTTAATATAATCATGTGGACTTATATGTATGAACATCATATATCATGTAATTCATGGTAAATGATGAATGAAAACATGTAATAATAATATCCAAGAAATGATATGCAATCGAAACATATATATGATTGATATGAAGGACATGATAAACTAAGCATAAGATGATATAGATGGCATGATAACATATACTAACATGTAAATGTATGCTCATGAAGAATAAAATGTATAAACAAGATAATATAAGACAAAATAAGGAAGAACTCATTTAGAGTCATCTTGGAAGATCTTTAATGATGTGAGTAAGTAATGGAGAATGTTTGTGCCATGCTGGATCACATCGTCCCCCTTCTTTAAGGCAATTTGTCCTCAAATCGAAGTTTTTTGCCATTGACTGCTTCCTTGGTATAGGAATGAATGAATCAATACTTCTTCTTTCATATAGAATGTTCAACTTTCTTTGTTCAATCTACAAAATTAAAGAAGAAATACTTTTGATTAAATGGTTAGTGAAAACCATATATTGTGCCAAAAGATACTTTTTTGTCACTTATCCTCTCGAATAGGAACATATCTCTCGAAATCCTCCTTGGTTAGTATTTACATGATTGGAGAATGCATAAGGCTCTTGGTAGCAACTCTTCAGAACGTCTTGTCCATTGGTGATGAAACATGTCTTTTGGAGATCCTCCTTACTTGAAACAACACATTTTTGTAAAAGGGCACTTGTTTTTTCAGCTCCCCTCCTTACGGTTGAATGTACCTTCACAAAAAGTATAAAGATAAGTAAAAGATATAAGAAATGTTCAACATAAGATATATAAGGCATGCCTAAGTATGGATGAAATGCAATCATTTAACATAAAAATGATATATATATCCTAAGGTAATAGATGCATACTATACATATAATAAATTATCATATGCTTAATATAATCATGTGGACTTATATGTAGGAACATCATATATCATGTAATTCATAGTAAATGATGAATGAAAACATGTAATAATAATATCCTAAGAAATGACATACAATCATAGCATATATATGAATGACATGATAAGCTAAGCATAGTATGCTATGAATGACTTGATAACATATACTAACATGTAAATGCATGCTCATGATAGAATAAGATGTATAAATAATATAATATAAAGTAAAGTAAGGAAGAAATCCCTTAGAATCAGCTCGGAAGATCTTTAATGATATGAGCAAGTAATGGAGAAAGTTTGTGTTAGGTTGGATCACATAAAATAAGGAAGAGTTTTCACTCATAATGAGCGTACCATTTATCTAGGGTGGCGCAATATGATGAATGGTATGGACAAGAGAGTGTTTGGGGTGTACAGTGTGACAAGTGGGTACAAGTTATTGATTTTGAATACATATGACCAACTTTAAATCTCTAATCTATACAAGCGGATTTTGGAAGTGCATTGTCAACGTAAAACTAAACTATAAATTTGGAGATTTACCCATGGATACGTATCAACTAAACAAACTTTACACTTTTAGAGACTCATGTTGGATCCATATTCCTTAGTTGCAAGAGTGTCGTTTAGACGTGTGCTCATGTTACCCAAGATTGTGCCCTTTCAAAAATAGTTTGGCAAGGTATGAATTATCAATGGCCCTCTTATGGAGTTCAATGGGATTTTTGTACTTGGCTTATATGGCTATTACAGAATAACAATCCTAACAGTCATGGTGAAATTCTATGTGGGGTTTGGATGTTATGGTTTGTGCGAAAAAAAGTTTATTCATGAAGGAAAACGCACACAAACTAGCGAAATTATTACCTTTTTTCGTGCCCACTGTTTAGAGTACAGATCTACTACTGATCAGCTCTCATGTCCAGTCCCAATCACACAGGTTTGCTGGTCTTACCCTCTTGTTTCTTTTATTAAAGTAAACTTTGACTGTAAATTCATTCATGTGAGCATAACATCATTGTCAGTTCCGGTTATTAGAAATGAAGAAGGCTTGATTATAAGAGCGAGTAGAAAGAGATTATATGAGAAAGTAGAAAGAGAATGGAGAATGTTACCTCTACTTTCGAGGCAGAGGCTCGAGCAGTAGTCCATGCTCTGGAGTTCACAATTGAGATGTATTTCATGAGTCATCTTGAGGGAGATGCACAAACAATAATAACAAATATCAACTCCACCGTCGTTCATCAATTCAAAATTAGTCCCTTCACCTAGGAGGCCAAACAAAAAGTGTTGTATTTGGAGGCCTCTAATTTTCGGTTCACCTCCCGTATGAATAACTAGGCAGTTCACTTGTTTACAACAAAAATGTATATATGATAGGTGAACATGTACAGGGTTTAGGATACATCTACGAGGGTGCTCATTCAAGAGGCGGAGGGTTTAAGATGAGTTCATCACTAATGCGTCTGGAAAACTTGAAGAGAATCCAGTGTTTGCAACTCATCGCCATCAAGATAAAGTGCTTGCTTCCTGTCTTTTAACTACTGTAAGTATAGAGGTTCTGCACTTGACTGGACTTACAACTGTGATATCAATCTAAAATACTATATCTCGTCTGTTTGGTGCTCGTTCCAGTGCCAAGATTTCTTCTCTTCGACATAATCTTCATTCCCAGCGAAAGACTGATTTGATGATTAGGGAGTATCTTGCTAAATTCAAATCCATATGTGATTTTTTGAATGCTTCAGGTAGTGTGGTTACTAATCAAGAACAGAAAACACATGCTCCACTAAATTCAACGCATGCTCGACCACCAGTGCATACTCCACCACCAGTGCATGCTCCACCACCAGCGCATGCTCCACCTGTACCTGCTCCATTAACTAATGCTCCATTCTCCATAACTAATATTCCTATTGTCTCTCCTGTACAGACAATGCCAGGTCTATCTACACGTGCTCCAACAAATGCTCCATTCTCAATAGGCGATATTCCTCTTGTGACCACGTATGTTCCATCTCGTGCTCCAACAAATGCCCCATCAACGAGTGCTCTAAAGACAAGTGCTTCAATAATGCGTGCAAATAGCCCATGTGCTGCTGGTCCCACGCCATCTCCACTAAATTCAACCGATGCTCCATTAAATGAAAACAACCCATTTGATTCTCCATCAATGTGTGCTCCTTCAATTCCACATGCAGTTGATTCCACGCATGGTGCTCCACCATATTCAACACAATCAACGCTTTAATTTTTAAATGGCCCACGTGTTGCGCCGCATGTTCCATTCTCCACAGCTCGTGCGCATGTGGAAATTCAATCTACTAATGCAAATAATCGAAGAGTTGGGACCACACCACTAAGTGTAGACAGCCCACATGAAGGTCTCATGTGCTCTCCATCAACGCGTCGTGAAGGTCCCATGTGCTCTCCATCAACGTGTGATGCTCCATTGGATTCGCTGCATGCTCCATTTAATTCAACAAATGGTTCATTGAATTCAACGTGTGATATTTTGAATTCAACTAGCCCACGTGATCCTTTAGTTCACGAGAATGATGGAAAAGTTGTTTTGTCTACACGAGATTCCCTAGCTCATGAGATTGATGGACAAGTCTCTCCTGCACGTGTACCCGAGACTATTGTTTGCCCTCTATCTCGGATCCCTCATAACACGCATTCCATGGTTACCAGGGCCAAATATGGCTTTCGAAAACCTCGTGTTATGCATGTTAAATACTTTGATGAAGAACCTCAGTCCATTAAAGATGCTATGAAGATTCCTCATTGGAAGAAAGCTGCACAGGAAGAGTTTGATGCTTTGATTGGAAATAACACATGGTCTCTTGTCACTCTTCCTAGAGATTGTGTACATGTTCACTGTAAATGAATTTTTAAGGTGAAACGCAATGCTGATGGCTCAGTGTCTTGGTACAAGGCTCGTCTTGTTGCGAAAGGGTTTCTTCAACGACCTGGGGTTGATTTTCATGAGGTTTTTAGTCCAGTTGTGAAACCTGTAACGGTACGAGTGATTCTTACTCTTGCATTGACAAGAGGTTGGTTGTTGCGTCAAGTAGATATTAATAATGTGATGTAATCCTGTCTAGCACCAACTTTTTGCATGACATACTCACATCATTGAAGATCCATCAAAATCAATCTAAGGGAGTTCTTCCTTACTTTATATTATATTTACTCATTTATATACTATATATATTATTATGAGCATACATTTTCATTTTAAACTATGCTTGAATAATCATATGTTATCATTCACTTGCATATTATATGATTTTCACGCATAACATATGTTTTCACATCTTTACTTAGCTTTATATTATGTCTTACGTATGTTTTAGATTCATTTATTATGTTTGCATATCATTTACATATCATGGCAGCATGTATTCATTCATTCATTAACTCATGACATGTTATTCTAGCTCATGTTATGTTTACATTAGCTCACTAGCTTTAAATCCATGTTTCTTTAGCTCATTTGCATGCATGCATATATTTTCTAGCTCATATATGTTTTCTTAATGCTCATGAACGTCCTATACCTTTTATCTAGCTTATATACATGTTATCTTAGCTTCTAGATGATCATTCATAGCTCATATCACTCAAACACCTCACGACAGCATGCATTTTACATTAAATGAACTCACACATTGCTTACTTGGTTTGTTTGTTAATTCCTATAGGTGAAACACAAAGCAAGGCATATTATGGTAGCTTGGTTAGGTAAAAGGATAAGCATAGCAGCTCACACTAGCTCATGAACGTTATGGCAGCTCATTTCATCACTTAAGGAGCTTCAACTTAGCTGGAGGAGCTAGCATGTAGTTGAACCTAGTTGGAGGAGAGCTTTGGACCAAATTGTTGACAAGTGGACTAAAGGTAGCTGGAAGTAGCTGGGAGAGTAGCTGAGGAGCTGAAAAGACCAAAGCTAACTAGATTGAGTTCATCAAGCTATAACCCACCTAGTTAGCTACCAAGACACTCACCTAGATTACCTTGAAGCTAGTTCATCTCTAGGCTACCCATGGACTTCAAGACATCATCCTATGGTTTCAACCTCACCAAAGCCTTGCAAGAAGACCCATGTGCATTCAAGTAGGCTTCCATGTGCATCATTCAAGCATGTGCACTCCATGTGACATCAAATTGGTGCCAAAACACCAAGTGATGCTTCCTATTCGGCCAAAGAATCTTTCCTCTTCATTTTGGCACCCAAATAACTTCCAAAGGCATTCAAAACATCCTTCGGCCGAACCAACACCTTACCATTCGGCCAAGAGCATGTATCTTCATTAAAATCATGTATTTTCATTTAAAAATCATGTATTTTCAAAGGGGTTTCATCCATAGCCGAACAATTATGTATCTATTCGACCTAAACCCTTTGAAAACTATAAATAGGCTATTGCCATCATTTGTAATCATCTCATCTCATATATTAAAATTACTCTTGTGAGTTAATTTCTATTCAAAGTTCTTTATGAACTTTATCGATTAAACAAGTATAGTTTCTATACTTGTGGCGTCATTCCTTCCATCCTGATTCCAAAATTCCTAGATTAATATCTAGTGGGTTGAAGACACTATCACCACCCCTCAAGCAAGTTTGTGAAGACCGATATTGTGCTCCTTAGCACTATTTCATCTTTGGCGTGTTTGAGATACAACATCACCACCATTTCCATTTCATCAACAACATCATCCATCTCTTCTTTCAATTCCGTAGCCATCTCTATCCTTTCTTTATTTCATTTCATTCTTATTCTTTCATTTCATTACTTATATTATTATTCCCTTTATTAAGTCCATCATTAATCATATTTACTTTCTTATTTTGTGTAGCCCAAGCTTATAAATTCAAGGACATCAGTACTTGTCAATCCTAGATCGGGACACAATAAGGCTATCTACTCTCTTCCATCAAAGAGTGTAGATCACCTTACATCAAGATCTCATCTCTTATATTAAAATTACTCTTGTGAGTTAATTTCTCTTCAAAGTTCTTTGTGAACTTTATCGATTAAACAAGTATAGTTCCTATACTTGTGGCATCATTCCTTCCATCTTGATTCCTAAATTCCTAGATTGATATCTAGTGGGTTGAAGATACTATCACCACCCCTTAAGCAAGTTTGTGAATATCGGGATTGTGCTTCATAGCATAGTTTCCTCTTTGGCGTGTTTGAGAGACAACATCACTACTATTGCCATTTCATCATCAACATCATCCATCTCTTCCCTCAATTTTGCAGCCATCTCTATCCTTTCTTTATTTCATTTCATTATTATTCTTTCATTTCATTACTTATATTATTATTCTCTTTATTAATTCCATCATTAATCATATTTCCTTTCTTATTTTGTGCAGGTCAAGCTTATAAATTCAAGGACATCAGTACTTGTCAATCCTAAATTGGGACACAATAAGGCTATCTACTCTCTTCCATTAAAGCGTGTAGATCACCTTACATCATAATGTCTTTTTAAATGGGGTATTGATGTAAGAGGTTTACATGACTCAGCCTCCTAGGTTTGTGCAAGTTGGTGATGGTTTAGTTTGCAAGCTGCATAAAGCAATTTATGGCTTGAAGCAAGCTCTTCGGGCCTGGCTTGAGAGCCTTCGAGAGTATCTGGTCTCTGAAAGGTTCGTTTTGTCTAAATTTGATTCATCTTTGTTTGTTCGAAAGTCAGCTAGTAGTGTTGTCTACATGCTTGTATATGTAGATGATATCATCTTGACAGGGAGTAATGCTAGTGAGGTGCAATGTGTTATTGAAAAGTTGCATGGTCGATTTTCTTTAAAAGATCTTGGCTCTCTTAACTTTTTCCTTGGAATTGAGGTGTGTTCTGATGACAATGGTCTTGTTTTGACTCAACAAAAATATATTCATGAGTTGTTGCATAAGCATGGCTTTGATGATGTCAATAGTCTTCCTACTCCCATGGTCTCCAATTGTAAGTTGTCAGTTACTACCGGTGATCCCATTGAAGATGTAGCCCAATACAAAAGCATTGTAGGAGCTCTTCAGTACACAGTAGTCACTCGGCCAGATATTTCCTTTGTAGTGAAAAAAGTTTTCCAGTTCATGCAGTCACCTCGCAATAGTCATTTTCAGGCTGTTAAGAGGATTTTACGTTATCTTCAAGGGACAGCTGATTATGGTCTTCGATTTACAGCATCTTCTCGTATGTCTCTGATTGGCTTTGCGAACGCAGACTAGGGATCTGATTCTGATGACAGGCGTTCCACAACTAGCTACTCTGTTTTCTTTGGTGGAAATCTTATTTCTTGGAGCTCAAGCAAGCAGCAAGGTGTTTCTCGTTCCACAGCTAAAGCTGTGTATAGGAGTGTTGCTTCTGCAGTTGCTGAAATTGTTTGGATTGAGTCATTGCTTCAGGAGTTGTGTGTGGTTCCACATGGTAAAGCTACCTTATGGTGTGATAATTCGAGCACTGTTGCGGTCTGTGCCAATCCTGTTCAGCATTCTAAGTTCAAGCATGTTGTGCTTGACTTGTTTTTTGTACAAGAAATGGTTGCTGATGGTAGTTTACAGGTTAATGAGGTTCCAGCTTATGAGCAGGTGGCAGATGTTTTGACAAAGCCACTGTCTTCTGCCTCGTTTCTCAAGCACAAACAAAAACTCTTGGTAACACAGCTAAGAGGACTTCCTGCAGGTTTACAAAGTGGGAATGGCAGGGGGAATATTGAAGTCAAGAAGTTTGCTGCAGAAACTGAAGCAAGTGCTGAAGAAGTTAATAAA